GAGAGAGGGAAGGAGAGAGGCTGACTAAGGGGTCAGCTGGAAGTGCAGAGCAGGTGGAAGTGAAGGTAGGAGGAGGATTTTAACTTCTTGTATGCAGGTAAATCTTTTGTGATATGAAATGAAAAAAATAGTTTGTTTAAATGTTTTTAAAAAGTTGAACAATTTTGAAGTGGGAAGAGAAAAACCAAAGAAGCAGTAGGTAGCAACCATGAAAAATTCACTACTTTTAAATTCACATTTTCATGTGAATTTTCAATTAATTTTTAAGATAAAGTCCTATAACTGAAATCACTGGATCAAAGGATACAAACTTAAAAAGTCCCTAATACACATTGCTATATCACTTTACAGAAAACTTGTGATGGATCACGTTTTCATCATTGATGGGTGAACATTACTCCCTCTTTACCACATTAGGTATTACAAATTATTGTAATTACAAAAGTAGCACAGTGCTTATTGTTTAAAAAATTAAATAATAAAAAGAATACTATTAAAATTAGCTTCAAAAGCTCTCTTCTCACCCTCAAATCACATTCTCTAGTAGTAGCTAGTAATGATAGCTTGTTGTACGTATATTTTCCCAGAGACATTTTTATATACAAACTTATATATATGTGCAATTGCACATTTTTAAAAAATGGCATTATACTGTATGCATATCATGTTATACAACCTGCTGTTTTCATTCTGTGATCTATTACAGACCTCCTTTCTTATCACTTGTCAGCATACAGATCTACGTCTTTTTTTTTTTTTTTTTTTTTTTTTTGGTATTAGGGATTGAACCCAAGGATGCTTAACCACTGAGCCACAACCCCAGCTCTTTTTATGTTTTATTTGGATACAGGGTCTCACTGAGTTGCTTAGTGCCTCACCATTGCTAAGGCTGGCTTTGAGCTTGCAATCCTTCTGCCTCAGCCTCCCAAGCTCCTGGGATTATAGGCACACACCACTGTGCCTGGCCCGACCTCATTCTTTTTGATAGTCATATTCCATAGAATAAGTGGAACCATATTTTATTTGTAGATTTGTCTGTTAATAAAAATAGGCTGCCTACTTTTTCATGATTACAAATAATACTGTAACAATCTACCTTGTACAAATAAACTTATGTACTTAATATAAGTGACTGTGGGATAGTCCTAGAAATGGGGTGGCCAGGTCAAAGGTTGTGCTTTTAACATTGAAATAGATACAGTCACATTGATTCTAAAACTATATACCCAGTTTATGCTCCCACCAGCAGTGTCTAATGCCATATACTTGGCTGGATAATATCAATCTTTAGTTTTTGCTAACCTGATAATCTCATTTAATTTTCATTTCTGTTATCACTAGTAAGGTTGGGCTTCTGTACATAAGTTTTTAGTCATTATTTTTTTCTGTGAATGGCCTGTTTCTGTCCTTTGTACATTTTCCTCTTGGGGTTGTCTTTTTTTTTTTTTTTACTTTTTCTTTTTTTAGTTGTTAATGGTTGATTTATTTTATTTTATTTATATACGGTGCTGAGAATCAAACCCACTGCCTCACACATGCTAGGCAAGCGCTCTACCTTTGAGCCACAACCCCAGCCTTTGGGATTGTCTTTTTAAAATTGAATTGTAGAGTTGAGCGTAGTGGCACTGTCCTCTAATCACAGTAATTAGGAAGGCTGAGGCAGGAGGATTGCAAGTTTGAGGCCAGCTTTGGCAATTTTAGTGGACCCTGTCTCAAATGAAAAAGGTCTGGGGATGTAGCTCAGTGGATGTGAGAACAGAATAAAATAGAAGGCATTCTCTATAATCTAGGTGTTAATTCTCCATCACTATAAGCAAATGATTACCAATTTACTTGTTTTTTTCCCATGTTTGGGATTGAACCTAGGGCCTCATGTATGCTAGGCAAGTTCTATACCACTGAGCTACACCCTCAGCACAATTTGTCTTTTAATTTAGTTTAAGGTGCCTTTTGCTATACAAAAGTTGCTAATTTTTAGTCCCATCTCTCAATCTTTTCCTTTATGGCTACTAAGGTGTCCCAGTCTAAAATTTATAAACAAGAATTCTCTATTTTCCTCTCTTTACATTTATAGTTTATTTTATGATTATATTTTAATACATCTGTACTTTTTCATATTGTATGAGGAAAAGAATCTCATTTTTTAAAAAAATGGGTAAGCAATTTTTATCATGTCGTCCCCCCCATCTGAAATACCACCATTATTATCATATTCTCAAATCTCCCTATACACATTGGCCTGTTTTGAAACTTTCTGTTCTCTTCCTCTGTCTATTCTCGTGCTAGTATTTTCAAGTGCTGTTGCTTTATATTATATTTTTATTTTTATTTTTTTAAGGGGGGGGAGAGAGAATTTTAATATTTATTTTTTAGGGTTTTTTTTTTTTTTTGGCAGACACAACATCATTGCTTGTATGTGGTGCTGAGGATCGAACCCGGGCCGCACGCATGCCAGGCGAGCGCACTACCGCTTGATCCACATCCCCAGCCCCTATAGTATATTCTTCTGTGTTCTTACCTATTTACTTTTCCAGAAATCAACTTTAAGATCTATTTTATTGGAATTTCATTAAATTAGGTTAGCAAGAACTGATTTCTAATGTTGATACTTATCGTTCATCTAGAAGCATGACTTATTCTCTCCATTTAAAAGGGACTTATATATTTTCATTTCTAACACATTTTTGGTTCATTGTAATCTTATAATTTTATAATTTTGAAGTTTGCTTTATTGATAGATAAAAATGATGTATCATTTAATTTGTGTTTTGATTCTAGAGAAGTTACATATTTTTAAAGTATGTTTATTAACTTCCTATGCTCTGTAAATTTTTTCATCAGCTCCTTGATCCATTATTCCATTGGGGTCTTAATCATATATGAGCTTATTGTGTCATAAGGATACTTATCCTCTGTCACAGATACAGGAGACACCGTTCCAGTTTATTGTTTGCGTTTTAATTTACCACTTCTTTTTACTCCCCAGAAATTTGAAAGTCTAATGTAGTTAAGTGTATGAATCCTTTGTGATTTTAGTATTGCTCTTAGAAAGTCCTGTAAATTTTTTTTTGCTGAATATTGCATGTTTATGAGAAATATGCCATATGAAAAACTAGTCATATTGGCCTGATAAAAGAATCAGTTCTTAGTTTATTTATAGATGTTTAATAATACAATATTGTGGTATTAGTGATGTTCATTTTCATAACAGACAACTGAATATGTTGTATGTATACATATGTATATATGCACGTGACTGAAATGTTTTATATACATACACACAAATATATTTGAATGATTGGAACATTTGGTTATCATTTTTCATTTTAAGAATTTTAATTTTTGGCAAGTGTAAGTAATTTTAGTAGAACCGTGTATAAATTGTTTAGTTTGAATATTTAAATAGGCAATATGCTCTGATATGATATTTGATATAGTGTTAAGGTCAGAAATCATTTTAAGTTGAATTTTCTGTCTTCACAGGAATTTATTTGCATGAATTAGTTCCCTATTAAACACTGTCCAATAACTTGAACCTCTACCCCTTGACTCCCTCTAATCCAATCATGGTTATATAAATTTGCATTCATGTAAATTTTTATTAACAGTCTTACAAACACTTATATTTTCCCTGAGCTTTTATATATATAAGTATAATAATTGAATTGCCCATTTATTATAATGAATATGCTTTTATTTCTAAAAGCCAAAAATACTTTAGAGTATTGTACAGCATCTGGAGAGTAGGAGCAGATATGCTCTCATTGAGAATATTATTATTCTCAATATACTAATAATATTCTGTAGAATAATAATCAGTAACATGGTAAAGGAAGATTCAGTACAGGAATTAGAAGGCTGTAACTAAAACTTACATAGTTTGATCTTTTTGGGTTTTATTCATATAACATATTTATTGAACACATTAGCACTAACCATTCTACATCAAAGAATAAGAGGAACAAACCCCTGTGTCCAAGGAATTGACACTCCAGTGGGAGAGATAGATAACAAACATTTCAATAAATAAATTCAAATATTAAATCTGGTAGAGAAAAAGATGTTGAAACATAGCAAGGCAAGAGAGAAAGGAGTGACCGAGGCCTGGGGGATCAGAAAGGAGGTTCTTTAGACAGAATGATAAGGAAAAATTATTTTAGTAAGTGGCAGTTGGGATGGGATATAGTTTGATCTTAAGATGAATTAACACTTAGTTCTTATACTCTCTTGAACACTAAATGCATTATTTTATATAAAGAAGGTCCTTAATAAAATATTTGTAGTGAATGAAAAATATTGTAGTGAATGAAACATCTATTAGTGGTAGAAATTCTTTTAAAATTGCTGGGAAATGCAGTTCTAAAATTTCTACATAAATTTTGTTTAATTCATTAAAGTATACACAATCAACTTGCAACATACCTAGTCAGAAATTTCTTTTGTACTTAATATTCATTTAATTACTTGATCAGTTAGTTCAATTGAAGATAACTTGCTTGCTGAATTTGTTCATTCAGTTTTCATGTGGTTGAAAAGCTAGAACAGTGCTGTTCAATAGAACTTTGCTGTAGTGACAGAAATAGTCCAAATTTGTGCTCTGTAATACTTTTGCAAGTAGTTACATATAGCTAATATGCTCTTGAAATGAAGTCAGTGTGCCTAAGAAACTGAACTTTTATTAAAATGGATGTAAAAGAATTTAAAAGCCATACAATCAAGATCATAAAACTTGGGGCTAGGGTTGTGGCTCATTTTTTTTGCAGAATACAGATTGAAAGGAAATAAATAAGGTTATAGTGATTATCATAAAACTATATGTTGTATTTATTTTGTTAAATTTGTCTGAAACAGTAGGTTGCTATATTGAATATATTATAAATCATTTCTCCTCATTTTTGAATACAATTTCAGTCTAAGGAAAAGTTTGTGTCCTCAGAACCTGCAAACTAATGCTCATTTTAAGACTGGTCCATATAAAGCTTTTGTTCATTTTTAAGCAGCTGATTTAGAAGAAAGTTTTAATGAACATGAACTGGAGCCCTCATCCCCAAAAAGTAAAAAGAAAAGTCGCAAAGGAAGACCAAGAAAAACTAATTTTAAAGGGCTGTCAGAAGATACAAGGTCCACATCTTCCCATGGAACAGATGAAATGGAAAGTAGTTCCTATGTAAGTGAAAAACTATTGGATTTTTACTTTTTGTTGCACCATGAATATTTCATTTAAACTTTTTATGTAGTTAAGGTTTATCATTTGAAATGTTAAATAAGCTTGAAATACTGATAGCATTTCTGAAGTGTGTTTTTTTTTCTTTTATATTTGCAGAGAGATAGGTCTCCACACAGAAGCAGCCCTAGTGACACCAGGCCTAAATGTGGATTTTGTCATGTAGGAGAGGAAGAAAATGAAGCAAGAGGAAAACTGCATATATTTAATGCCAAGAAAGCAGCTGCACATTATAAGTGCATGGTAAGTAAGGTTCTTTTTATGTGCCTAATTTAAGCCCAAGCTTTTGTGAAAATAATTTAGCTAATAACCAAACATGGCATATTTACCTCTAGTATTTATGTTCTAGAGTTATGAATAGTAATATCTTATAATCTCAAATCTTAATAAACTTTAGATTTTTAAAAAATAGCTTTTATGTTTTACTAGAATTTGAAGTATGCTAATTATAATTATATGCAAGATAATCCATAATTATTTCACAACTGTAAGAATTTAATTTATATAAACATGTTCTCCACTATGATAAATACTGCTGTTGTTTTACTTAATATACTATATTGCAGTTATTATTTATGAGCCTGTCTTTCCCAATAAATTTTTCAATGCCTCAAAGATAAGAATAAGGTGAGGACAAATTTTTATCTTTACATCCTTAGATCCAGGCCTGACTTACAGAACACCTAAATGTGTTCAATTGTATTGAATTATTCATCCCATTATATGATTAGTTCTTTTAAAGTTATATTATTTATATCAGAAGTTCTTGACTAAAGTGCATATCAGATTTACCTGGGAAGCTTTTTCCAAATAAATGTACCTTGGACCCCTGTGGAATAGATCCCACACATGTCTTTTTTACAAAACAAACAAACAAACAAACAAAACAGGTGATTTGATCTGTATCTCTGAAATTTGTCAACTTAAACTATTTCTTAAAACTGTGGAAATGGGATGTTTTCCCCCAGAAAATGTGCCCCTCCAGTGCTAAATAAAGCATCACTGGTTCATGGGGGAAAAAAAAACTGGAAATGTAAAAAGGTTGAGACAACAGGGTGATATTGTTGAAATCTTCATTGTTTGAAGCAGGGTATTTAATCTTGTCTCCACAGTGGCAATCTTAAGTTTTTTTCAGTCTTTATTTTGGGTTGAATTTTAATCAAATATATGAATATATTAAAAATATTTGTTGTTATTTGATTATTATGGAAAAATATATTTTCACTGGAAATTAATGCAGCATATTTATTATTATCTAATCTCTTTGTTATAAGGATTCTGAATGGTAATATTCTTGCATTTTTCTTCTCTAGTTATTTTCTTCTGGTACAGTCCAGCTCACAACAACATCAAGAGCAGAATTTGGAGATTTTGATATTAAAACTGTACTTCAGGAGATTAAGCGAGGAAAAAGAATGGTCTGTGATTTTTATATTTGTGTTATGCAACATTATTCTTGACTCTGCTTTAAATTAAGAACACACCTCAAATTTACCAGTCATCAAGAAATTTAATATAAAGCAGTTCATATGTTAAAGCACAGTATATATTTGACTTTATTTGTAACATAATAAAAAATACTGATGTTACTGAAACTTACTCTTTCTATGTAACTTCATTTCTTCAAAGATTTACATGGATTAGGTTTACATTTCAGGGTATTTGAGTGCTCTTTAATAAAATAAATGAAAATATGAATGTAACCCACTTTATTAAGTTTAAACTGTTATATTGTATAATTTTGCTTAATGAAAAATTCCATAAGTTGAATATAGCATTGACACCTTACCCATGTTGTTAATACTTTTTCTTTTCTTTTTTTTTTGTCTTTTGGTACCAAGGATTGAACTCAGGGGGCACTTGATCACTGAGCCACATCCCTAGCCCCATTTTTATATTTTATTTTGAGACAGGGTCTCACTGAGTTGCTTAGAGACTCACTTTTTGCTGAGGCTGGCTTTGAACTTGTGATCCTCCTGTCTCAGCCCCCTGAGCCACTGGGGTTACAGGCATGTGCCACCACACCCAGATTTTCTTTTCTTTTTAAAGAAAGGAAAAAAATTTTAGGGCTTCTGTTTAATGTACACATAAACAGTTATGTCTCTTAAAATGTTTATGGTAGCTTTAAAGCTTCCTTTATAAAATGTACTTTAGTCTCAAGGGGTTTTTTTTGGGCGGAGGACAGTACTATTGATTGAACCCAGGACCACTGAGCCACATCCCCAGCATCCTTTTTAGAAAAAAAAATTTTTTTAGTTGTAGTTGGACACGATATCTTTATTTTATTTATTTATTTTTTAATGTGGTGCTAAGGATCGAACCCAGGGCCTTGCACATGCTAGGTGAGTGCTCTACCACTGAGCCACAACCCCAGCCCTCCCCAGCCCTTTTTTATATTTTATTTACAGACAAGGTCTCACTAAGTTTCTTTAGGGCCTCACTAATTTGCCGAGGCTGGCTTTTGAACTCACGATTTTCCTGCCTCAGCCTCCTGAGCTTCTAGTATTTTAGGCGTGTGCCACTGCTCCTGGCTAGTCTATTTTTAAACATGCTGAATTACTAATAAGGAACTTTGACAAATATTGGCATCTTTATTGATCACTTACTCCTTTAAAGCTTATGCAAGTGGAATGTCAGTGGAATACAAAGTCTTTTAAGACAGCAGTTATCTCTAGAAGTGACTTAATGACGATTTTTTGTTTTGAAAATTTTTCAGACATCAAATTTACAAAGACTAGTAACACATCCAACACCTTAATTCATCATTTATCAAGGATTTGTGGCACTCATTTCACGATGCCTTTAATTCTTGTTGCTTGAAGTATTTTAAATCAGAACTCAGATTTCATATCATTTCACCTCTATCTAGTGCAGTATAAATCTCTTCACTGGACAGTTTCTTACCTAACAACAATATTGTTACACCTTCTATATAACAGCTAATTCCTTGGTGTTACTTAATACCCACTTCATACTTATATTTCCCTACCTGTCTCCAAACTGGCTGTAAGGTTGATTTATGTGAATTGGGTTTCAAAGGAAGTCCATGCTTTACATTTTGTTCTTGTCATTTCATTTTGTTATTATTTTTGCAATACTGGGGAATAAACCCAGGGGTGCTCTGTCATTGAGCATTACATCCCCAGCCCTTATTTATGTATTTATTTATTTATTTATTTGCTTTGAGGCAGGATCTCACTTAAGTTGTGGAGGCTGGCCTTGAACTTGCTATCCTCCTGCCTCAGCCTTATGAGTTACTGGGATTACAGGTGTGCACCACCATGCCTAGCTCTACATTTGGTTTTTACATATCCTTTACATAATGTACAGCACCCTCTCCTCCCTCTCTCTGTTGTTTTGGATTTTTCTTGTATGCTACTGACTTGAAGAAAATGAATTAATTGTCCTTTAGAATGTCCTACTATTTTATGTGTTTGCTTTTCATGATGCTATTTATCTCTCTAGCCTCCATATTTCCATTTAAAGTGGGAGATGCATGCAAAGCTTGATTAGATTCATTTTCATCTTTTTTGGGGGGTGAGATCATCCACATCCTACCTATCATATCAGATAGGTCATAATGACTGACTCTTGGTTTCAGGTGGTAAATCTGATCCCTCTACTGTGAAGGTACCCTTCATTCTTTCATGTAATGGTTTCAGACAATTATCATCTTTGTCTTACTCTATTAGAATTGACCCTTTCTTTGTGGAGTTTCTTTTGAGGTATGAAGATTGTTGTTATCTGTTCCATTTAGATTCAGTTCAGTTTAGTAATAAAGAGAACTCACAGTACTAAAAAGAAATAAGGGAAAATCATGCAGCAATGTCGTGTCATTAAAAAATCCAAATAAGTGAATAGGACAACCGTTCAATTCACTTACTGTTTTCTTCTGTACTGTTGAAGGTTAGGGTAAATACTAAAGGATTTTCCCATGTGTGCTCCAAAGGAAATTAGTCCATCATGATACCTCCTTACTGCTCTGAAAGTAAAAAGGCATCTAGAGTTCAGTAAATTTGAAAACTATCTACTATATACCCCTTCCTGGAGAAAAGGCTGTGAGAAGTTCTGCAATAAAGTGATCTGCTTAACCCACTGTTTCTCAAACTTATTTGACTATGAAATTCTTTTTGCAACAGGCACTTTCAATCTCAGAACATTCTTTAGGTGAGGCTGATCAAGGCCAAAGTCAGGAGTTTTGGAAAAGATTTCAGCCCCTTAATTTCTGCCCTTTTGTCTACTTGGTGATGATCTCTCTCTGAAGGGATTGCTTTCCTGTTTCCTCATTCTTCCCCCAATTAAAATAGGAAAGGATCTGATCTCAAGGAGGAAAAGAAGTCAGACCACTGAAATACATCATCTTTTTGTGTTTGGTATCAAGGATTGTCATAAGACACATGGGAGGTGTCAGTTCTCCCATAGTTGGTATAGTTTTTCTGACAAGCTGGAAGTTTTTAATTGTTAAATAACATAAACATCAGGGTATGACTTAATTAGAAGGTTTAAGTTGCCACATATTATACTTTGTTTTTTTTGTTTGTTTGAGACAGGGTCTCCTGGGGCTCAAGTGATCCTCCCACCTCAGCCTCCTGCATAGCAGAGACTAGAAGTGTGCACCATTGCACCTGGCTGTAACATTATTTTAATTATGTATTATAAGTACAGTGTACTCTCTTTTGATAGAATATTGCTGCTGTTTTCTTTATAAACTGGAATAGTTGGCTGAAATATGACTAAAATAGAATAAATAAGATTGCCTAAACTTTGGAATTCTGCTTACGATCATTCTTTCTCTTTCTTTTAAACAGAAATGTACACTTTGTAGTCAGCCCGGTGCTACTATTGGATGTGAAATAAAAGCCTGTGTTAAGACCTACCATTACCACTGTGGAGTACAAGACAAAGCTAAATACATTGAAAATATGTCACGAGGAATTTACAAGTAAGAAAGCAACATTTGTCCATTTTCCTAAACATGTCAGTAAGTAACTCACTTAAGTAGGTTACCAGTTACCTCTTTGGTGGCATTTAGTCAAATATAGAATACTGAGCCTATTATATAGGGAATCAGAATTGTGATTGGCTTTTCCTGTGACTATATATCCCTGAATTAGCATTCATTCATTCATCCAGTATTATGCTTACTCTGTGGCAAGCATTGTGCTAGGAGCTGGGTATACAATAGTGATCAAGACAGACACAGACTGCGTCCTTTTAAAGGATACAGTCAGATAATTGGGAGCACCCTATTTTTACATGACCAGACAATAAATACACAATTACAAACTACATAAGCACTCTAAAGTTACAAAGTGCTATGAGAACATATGACAAGAGAGCTAACATAGCCTGTAGTAGGGAATGTTTAAGAATTTTCTGAAGGAATCAGCACTTGAGCTGAGATAAGAAGGATAAAGGTGAAGATGGGGAGGCATTCTAGGCAGAGAGAAAAGCAAGTGTGCAAGACTTTCGGGTGGGAAAGGAGCCAAGGAAAGATGGGGAGATGAGTTAGAAGGCTATAGCCGATGATCCAGGTGATAATTGTTGGTAACTTTGACTAGGATATAGTTGAAGATAGAAGTCAAAAGATTGTCTTGGAAAAATGATGAATGAATATGGTGTTGGGGTGTAGTTCAGTGAAATAGCATGTACAAGACCCTGAGTTCACTCCCCAGCATAGCAAGGGAAGAAAAGTAGGATTTGGAGATTTGGGACTGCAATAATACTTACTTTTTTAATGAATCTTCCACTGTGGGCTAGTGGCATCTATAATGATTTCATTTGTTTAGTCAAATGTAGAATAATTTGATAGGGATACCTGAAATTTAATTTGCCTTTGAGAGTTGTAAAGCACTTCTGTATTCTCACATGCCTAATATGCTGTAAACCAATAACTTCAGGGTCTGGTACTATGTGTAAAAAGCAGTTTACTCAAGCAGTCATCAAATCATTTGGGTTGCCTTCATAAGTTGCTGATGCCATATTATAAAATTGACCAAATTTTGTTAGGGCATAAATATTTTCAAAGGAGTTCCATTAAGCCTTTAAGAAACAGATAATATCAATGTTATTTGAAAAGAACTAACACATAACAAGAGATGGGAAATTTCTTGGCTCATTCTATAAAGCATGCTTAACTGTGATACCAGACCTGACCTAACAAAGATACATTAAAAGAACAAACTGGAGACCAATCTTACTTTTATAAATATATATATATATATATATATACAAAAATCTAAATAAAATATTAGTAAATTGAGTGCAGCTCTATCTACAAATTTAAAAGATGTTCAAAATTAGGACATATGTTAATGTGATCTATTATAACTAAGGGTAAAAAAAAAATCCTGTACCTTCCCAATAGATGGTGAAAAGACATTTTATAACATTCAATATCAATTTATGATTTCTTTTTGGTATTAGGTATTAAACCCCGGGGCGTATGTAACCAATGAGCCACATCCCCAGCGTTTTTTTTTTTTTTTTTTTTAGTTTTATTTAGAGACAACTCTTGGTGAGTTGCTTAGGGCCTCACTAAGTTGCTGACACTGGCTTTGAACTCATGATCCTCCTGCTTCAGCCTCCCAAGCTGCTGGGATTACAGGCATGTACCACTGTGCCCAGCCCAATGTTTTGAATTTTAAAGTAACATAAAAAGAGTGCTCTTGGTAAGCTAGGAATATTAATAGGGTGAATAGGAGAAAATAACAAATAATTTAGAATTGAAATAAGGAGCAATGGTCCTTATCCAGGGGTGATCCTCAGAATCACCTGGGGTGGATGGGGATCATGATTGGGCCCCACCCCACAGAAATTTAAGTTCATTAGGTCTGTGTTGAGGCACAAACCCTTTATTTTATGACTTTTCAGGTGATTCTTATGTTCATCTCTAACAGAACCATTAGACTAAATGCACTATTTTTTTCTTTTTTTGGGGGGAGGTACCAGGGATTGAACTCAGGGGCACCCAACTACTGAGCCACATCCCCAGTCCTATTTTGTATTTTATTTAGAGACAGGGTCTCTGCCATAGTCTGGCTGGGCACAAATAACCGAGCCGCCACAGCTCAACAGGTCTCACTGAGTTGCTTAGCACCTTGCTTTTTGCTGAGGCTGGCTTTGAACTTGCAATCTTCCTGTCTCAGCCTCCTGAGCCACTGGGATTACAGGCATGTGCCACAGCACCCAAACTAAATGCACTTTTATTGAGATTAGGAGGAAGACAAAGGAATCAACTACCACCATTACTTTCAACATTCTTCTCAAGGGTTAAGCTAATGTAACAACAAAGGGAAAAAGGACTGTAGGTGTAGCTTAGTGGTAGAGTATTTGCCTAGCATTTAAGAGGCTCTGGGTTTGGTCCCTAGCAAAGCAAAAAAGAAAAATGTATAATAAATGGTCTGGGGTTGTGGCTCAGCGGAAGTGTGCTTGCCTTGCACGTGCAAGACCCTAGGTTCGATCCTCAGCACTACATAAAAATAAATAAGTGAAATAAAGGTTTTGTGTCCAACAACAACTAAAAATAAATATTTTTAAAAATGTATAATAAATAAAATGATCAGTGTCAATTATTGATGTATATCAAGAAAATCCAAAGGAATTAATTCTGAACTTATTAAAATTAATAAGGCTGCACAATATGAAATGACTTTAAAAAAAATTCCAGTTAGAAAATGCAAAGGAAAAATGTTCATCATCCATAGACACAAATTAAAGGTGAATCTTTTCCTTCTTTTTTTTTTTTTTTCAGTACTGGGAATTGAACCCAGGACTTCATGCATGCTAGGCAGGTACTCTACCACTGAGCTTTTGTATTTTGAGACAGGATCTCCCTAAATTGCCCAGTGTGGCCTGGAACTTGCTATCCTCCTGCTTCCACTGCCTAAGTAACTGAGATCACAGATGTGCACCACTGCACCCAGCTTAACCTTTTCCATCTATAAAGAAAAAAGGACTCAGACAAAATATATTATGCTTCTTGACAGAATAGCATTGAAAATTATCTATTCTCACCAAATCAATCTATTATTTAATATAATTTTAAACCAAATCCAAAATTTTTGACCATTTTATTTAGAAGAATAAGTGTGATATAATTTTCTACTTGTAATGATTAGGTTTACTTTATGTAATGGGAAAAATATCAGCTTCAACAAGGTAGTTGTTTCTTACCTCAGGTGGGCAGAGAAAAGAAGTCTAGATGTTGGGGAGCAGTTTATCCGTGTCATCAGGGACCCAGGTTACGTATCTATCATCTTTCTGCTTATTCATCCTTAGAACATCCTTCCACATATGTGTGTATATATTTTTGTACGCACAAGAAGATCTCTAGAATACATTCAGCAAAATTAATGGTTACTATCTACCATTAATTGCAAAGGGATGGAGGAAAAGAGACAGTTTTACATTTCCCATTGTCTGATTCTATGGTTTATGATGAACTGTGTACTGTTATTTAAGTAGCCATTTTTTATTTTTGAGTACCCAGGATTGAACCCAGGGGGCGCTTAACCACTGAGCCACATCCCCTACCCTATTCATTTTTAATTTTGAGACAGGGTCTCACTAAGTTGCCGAGGCTCACTTTGACCTTGTGATCCTCCTGCCTCAGCCTCTTAAGCCGCTGGGATTACAGACATGTGCCACTGTGCCTGGCAGCCATTAACATTTTAAAAGAACAAGCCCATTTTATACATCTAAAATCTAGTATGTGAAGAATTACTGCATTTACATTTTTATTTTATTTAGCTATTTTTATTATAATTATCTATTTTCATTTTGGAAAAAGTAGAGAATTAGGTAAGAAAAACGAGTTAATTAATTCTACTACCCAGAGCTAACAATTTTTAAATTTTTTTGGAATATTTTCTTCTTGATGTTTGTGTGATTGTGTAAATGTGTATATTTATAAAAAGATTCTTATATATACTGATTCATGATCTGTTTTCCAATTACTATACTGAGACGACTTTTTTCTGTGACATTAAACAGTTTTATATGTATTTTAATGGTTACATAGTATTCTATCCTGTGGATATGTCAGTTAGTTTCATTGTTTCCATTCTTGGATATTTAGAGGTCTTTTCTTTTCCCTTCTTTTCTCTTCTCTTCCTTTATTCTTTTGCACTTTTTGACTATTAGAAAACCTAGTTTGAGTACTGGGGGTGTGGCTCAGTGATAGAGCGCTTACCTAGCATGTGTGAGGCCCTGAGTTCAATCCTCAGCACTACATAAAAATAAATAAATAAATAAAGGCATTGTGTACAACTACAAAATAAATATTTAAAAAGAAAAAGAATACCTTATTTCAGTGTCCATTTCTAAGCAAAATTATTTGCACAAAGATCCATAGTGATTTGAAATGCTCTTTCTTTTTCACATTAAAATATATTTTTTGGGCTGGGGTTGTGGCTCAGCAATAGTAAACTCACCTAGCATGTGTGGGGCCCTGAGTTTGATCATCAGCACCACATAAAAATAAATAAAATAAATGTAACCAATTAAAAAATAAAATTTAAAAAAATGTTTCTCCAATCTGCTTTCAACATGGGTTGCAGACAGAGACCTTTCAGTTCAAGTGAGAATCTATATGCAAGTAGTTTGAGGAGAGAGGAATGGGCAAATAGGAAGAAATGCAGAGGGATATTTCTGTATAAAATGGCTTCCTTTTAAATATGGCTTTCCTTCCTTTACCAACCCTTTCTGGATTCTGACAATATATTCATATTAAAAAGGCAAGGGAGGAGTATGTTTGTTGTCTTCATTGTCTTTAAAATGATTTAATATGAATTTTTTAAAATGTCAGTTTCCAACCATAAAATAGTGAGTTCTGTGACAGCAGGGATCTTGTTTGACCAACTGACACCTGTGACCTTGGTGCCTAGACTGGTAAAATAACTTAAGCAACTATGGAAAATATTCTGTAAATGGAAAATCATTCCATAAAAAGATTAAAAATTTTCCGACAACAAGGGACTTGTTAATTTTAGATGAAACCTTTCTATTCAAAAGATTTTTCAAATGTACACCAAAATAGAATGGTATGACAATTTTCTCTATCAGCAGTTACCAGGTTATTACCAGTTGTTTCATCTATTGTTTTTTTCTTGAAGTATGTTAAAGCAGAATCCCAGCTCTCTTGTTCTTATCTCTACATACTTTAGTATGCATCTCTTACAAATATGGGTATATCTTACAAAATCAGTGTTCCATTATCACATATTATAAAATGAACAATTCCTTATTAGTATTTTCTCATACCTAGTCCATTTCCACGTTTCCCTACTTGTCTCGCAAGTGTCTTTTTAGATTTGATTTGCTCAACTATTCAATACATCAAGGTCCATCCACTGCATTTGACCTGTCTGCTAAATCTATCTTAAAATAGAACTATCCCTAACTACTCACATTTTTTCCATCTTCTTGAAGAACCCTAATAAGTTATCCTGTGAAAGTCCCACATTGTAGATGTCTGCTTGCTATTTCATGTTGTCTTTAACTTATTTCTCCAACCTTTCCCTCCATATTTTGTGTAAACAATAAGCTGGTTCAAAGGCTTAATATGATTCAGGTTATAATTTAGGCAAGATGCATCATAGGGATACTGTATAAGGAATCTAACTCTTGCCATTTGAACTTGTGAAATACAAGACGTAATTTCCAGTGTGCATCATTTGAAGAGTAAAAATTCTCCATAGCTCTTTGAAAGTTATTGAAAATGTTTTAAGACTCAAAAATGAGAAAAACTGGATTGAAGTAATTTGTTAATATTGTACTCCCAACCCAACTTTTGGCTTTTATTCTACTCAAATATTAGACCTACTTTAGATCATCTATTTGACATGTGAATTTCTATATAATCTTTTATCCATTATTGACCACAAGAGGGCATCCAGTGAACATTTTCTAACCATTGTTCCATCGTCATATTGTGTGTAATTCACCTAAAACTGAGCTCAAATCAGCCCACCTTTCTCTGATTCTACAAAATCATTTATATTGCTATTTTTATTAAAAACTTAAATGAATTTCAGGTTGGGAATGTATGTAGCTCAGTGATAGAGGGCTTACCTAGTGTATATGAGGGCCTGGGTTCAGTCCCCAGCACTGCAAAAATAAATAAATAAATAGATAGATAGATAGATAGATAAATAAATAGATACATAAATTAAAAAAATCAATTTTAAGGGGCTGGGGCTATGGCTCAGTGGTAGCATATTTGCCTGGCATGTGTGATGCACTGGGTTCGATTCTCAGCACCACATATAAATAAATAAAATAAAGGTCTATCTACAATTTATATATATATATATATATATATATATTTAAGAAAATAAAATAAATTTCAAATACATAGCATATTATATCCAAGTAAAAGGTTGTTGAAACAGCATGATACCAAAGAATCACTCAAAAGATTTTCAGTGGAGAAATCTGGCCTTCACCACCACCTTAACCAAATGATCAAGCATCAGCATCACTAATAGCAGAAGGTTTGAAATTACATGCCTCCTGCAGTATGCAGGATCACCTAAAAAGTGTCTTGACTGAAAAACAAAAGTTAAACCTAAAGCTAATCAAACCCTTAGACATTCTTCCCATTTAATATGAAATATAGGGTGAGAGAACTAAATAAAACAGTAAAATCACAGTGTGATGAAGTTGACAAGCAGGCTGGTCTGATTCTGTCCAGAAAAGTCAATGTTGTGAGACAAAAAGAAGTTGGAGGGACCAGACTAGAATGAGAGAAACATAGCCTAATTCAATGCAGGAAAACTATTGGATGATTCATGAAGGTATTCTAGTATAGGCTTGGACACCAGTGATGAAAAGACATTTGAAGATTTTGAGAAAAATTGTTTCATTAAATGTGAACAGAAAGTATCAGTTCATATAGAATATATTTCTTGATATGTGACTGCAAATTATGGATATGAAACAAATTCATAGAATTTGATTATTCCTTATATATACACCCAAAAGGTATATTTTTAAGTTGGCCAAACACCTTGCTTTTAATCTGATTGGCCAGAATGAGGAATTGCCTTATGATAACTGTCATCATAAACTAGAGGTTTTGAGATAAATTTGTTATGTCAATAATATTGTGTTTTCCTACCTTGCAGATAGAAATGGACCTGTAAACAATGGTAGGGCATTTTTAATTGGAATGAAGAAATTCATATTTTATATGGGCTCAGACTTTATCTGCTAAATATGATATGAGTGTATTCTCATTGAAAATGACAAAGAATTTTGAGATTTTTGTTTTTCCTCATTGTAGACTGTATTGTAAAAATCATAGTGGAAATGATGAGAGAGATGAAGAAGATGAGGAACGAGAGAGTAAAAGCCGGGGAAAAGTAGAAATTGATCAGCAACAACTAACTCAGCAGCAACTTAATGGAAACTAGGTATGAATGTTAATTATATGGGATCTGTTGTCAGGATACAATACACACTTGATAAATAAATACACAAGTAATGGTATGCAGTAAGATATTTTAATCCTATTATGTTTAGTTAAGAGCATGTTACTGGAATGCTGAGGATTGTGTAGGCTTGCATAGTTGTTGTTTTTCTTTTTTTTAACTAGCCAATTTTGTAACCATAAAAACAAGCTATCTACTTTATCAATAAATATAGTTATAATGTCAAATTAGTAAAATATTCTCACTCCTCAATAACATTATGTTGATTGTATTCCCCTCAAGCATCATATTTTACATATTTTTATCATCTTTTAAACAGGTTCATGGGACAGAGTTAGAAAACTGGGAATGAATAAGACATCCATAACTACTATTCTTTTTTCACTGTTTTCTAAAATTAAAAAGGGTTTGTAACTTTTTACTGCCCAACTATTAGATCTTTCATTGAACTGCCTAAAAACATCTTGTTTGTAAATGAGCCTTCACTAGACGGCGAGTTTGACATGTTGGTATTACGTAGCTGTAGTTTGCAGTTTCTGGGAAGCAATTGAAATACTATTAACCCTGTGTATAGTGTCAACAGTTAAAGCAGACATTGAAATGAAGTAAGCTATATTTCTGGACTGAACAAAGTTCTACTGTTTAGAGTGTTTAAGTTTGTTTAGTGGATTCATGCTCAAGGGAAACTATAAGCAAATTTTACTTTACAATGCAAACATGCCGCTGGTGGCAACACATGGTAATTTGTGGATTTTTTTTTTCACACTCAAGTAATGGAGGCTAGAAATGAAGAGAACCTTCTTTTTCTCTTGGCTTTGACAGCACATGCTAAAAATCTCTTCCAAGAAGTGTGCTGAAGCTTTTCATTTGGTTCCTGTTAACGTTGTTCTCACTGACCAGCATGGACTCGGGCAACTGGTGATTATAAGCTATGAGCTCCAGTGCTTATGCCAAAATTCTCTCGACAATACACTGCTTGTCTTTCCATGTCATACAAAGAGCTTCTGGCAAAATGATTGAATCCTTTCACGTTTAAACTAATATTTGGCAACAGCAAATTAAACCTCTTTCTGATTAAGGGGTTACTACTTGCTAAGGACTTTAGACACCATGTCTGAAACCCATTCCTCCCAAGTGCCCTGTTGTGTGAACACTTCACATATTGGCCCAAAGTATGTAAGGAGGTCTCGTGTGTTATAGGAGTAAAAAACAGTCTTTGCAGAAAACAGTATTTATTTTTAATTTTGTGACCACTATTTTAGAAACTTTATTTAATATTTGTAATGTTTTCAGTCATTGCTTTTGTTATCTATTAAATAGGCTTTGGGGCCCTGCTTTTTTTCTGGCAGGGCTCAGTGTTGTTTTATTCATCATCACAATTGTTGATGAAAGCCTAAGAACCCACCCAGCTTTTTAGAAAGGATTTTTACACTGGCATTTCCAGCTAGTGATATTTTCTTCCACTTCTCTGCTGAAGCACATTTATATGTTTCTTTATGGCAAAACCAAAAACAACAACAACAACAAAAAAAACTTTAGTTGTGGTCTGCCTGATATTACCATAGCACCTCAATACCAAGGGTAGGATTCTGATTTCTGAATTATTAGTTAACCTACCACAGTAAAGCAGATTTGCAAATAAGAAACAACATGCTAACTTGACTATACATTGAGATATTCTGCAGCTGATAGATTTAAAAATGTAACAGGTGGAAAATTACACTGTGCTTAATGACTGAATTTTTTAACTGMTAGTCCCTTAAGATCATGTTTGTCAAGTGTGTATTTACACATTTCCTTAAATCAAGGGACTCTATGCGTGCTTTATTTTAACCATCTTTATTGTTATTTTTAGAAGGAAACTAGCTTTAGTAGTGGATTGCCCTCCATGTTTTCTCTTTTTGCTCTTAATCTGTCATCATGTGTATGTGATTAATTTTCAAAGTTCATCATGACTTGAAGTGCAAGGACAGATCTAAATGTTTGTTTACCAAGCTATGTGACTTTTCCCAAAGGATCTGTACTTTATTTCCTTAAAACGGCTTGAAAAACCATTATTTTTTAAATCTTTAAATCACTGTGTCTAGATCATTTTTACATTGTGTGCCATAGAACTTACCCACGGAGAAACAGAGCTCCTTCATTTTTGGACAACTACTGTAATGATGTGTTTTTTTTTAGGAAAAAATGGAAGGTGCCAGGGGTAATCATGGCCAGTCAATAATTATATAAAGGACTTCAAATACTATAGCTGTCACTTGATGGATTTGTTATGTAGTAAAATGTACAACTTTGTATGGGTTTCTTTAGCCCTTTCTCTGCCACTAGCAACCAGAATAGCACTTTACCTTTTGGTTGGCTAGATAAGTGGCTGACTACCTGTTTTTCTCACTGTGGTGTGATTGGCTAAATAATCTTTCATTAAAATTGAAATGTAAATTACAGTCACATGAAAAATCACCTTGGGTTGTAAACCTCCAATATTTTGATTCTCTATCCATGTTTTCATCACATGCTGAGTAAAAGTGCCTTACAATGTAAAAATTGTACAGTACTTATGTTCCCAAGTAGCATCATCATATTCTGGGTAGTAATTCCATTGTGGTATTAATATTTAGATAAATGGACCTCAGCAGTGTATTTACTGTACATCTCTTAAGTCTTTAACTGTAGTTTTAATAAGCATGACATTATTTGATAAGTATATGACATTTACATCATTTCCAAAAATACTGCCATTACTGTCTTTTATGTATATTTTAGCCTGAAATTTTGAAGCATCTTTTTCTTTCTTTCCTTTTTTCTTTTTGTTTTGTTTTATTTTTGTTATTGATATTAAACAGTGTAATCTTTGCAAGCGTATATTGAAGATTATTCTGGAGCATTTATTGCCTTACCAGAAATGTTAGTAAGAAATGTTCTTTAGAGTAGAAAGATAGACTTGAGTTTCTATACTTTAATAAGAGCTCTTTGTTCCTGGGGGGAGGTGGGTGGGGGGTGAATTTTACTTTCATCTCAATTTATTAAAACCCACAACTAAAATAAATTTCATTTCAAGGATCAACAGTTTTAGACTTTCAGATAGTAAATGCTCAGAAGTACATGCTACTCAAGATATTAAGAGATCTGTAGATCTACTATTGAATCAGAATCTATGTACTTGAACAAATGTGTGAATCTCAAATGTCTCAAAGCAAAAGAAAAAGTGTTCTAGAGTGTTGTTGCTTTTTTAAAAAGCACTAAAGTTAGACCAAGGTATAGTTTTGTTCTGAAAGACATTTAGGTTAATTGTAAAGATAAGGAATGCATCATGGGTCAAAAATCAAACATTCCTCTCATGTTATGTATATTTTGTTCCTGTTATATTGGCTTTATTTTCAAAATTGTAGTTTGTAGTATTAGTTTCCTTTTATTGGTATTCTTGCATATACTATTCATTCAATAAATGAGTTATGACTTTCATATTTGTATGTCTTTTTTGTGAAACATATAATGAAGTTTATTTGACACCAGGTATATTTTAAGGTGAAATGTCAGAGGGTTTAGGGATGTAGACCAGTGGTACAGCACTTAGCTAGCATGCTCAAGACCCTCAGTTCAATCCCCTGCACTATCGAGAGAGAGAGAGAGAGAGAGAGAGAGAGAGAGAGAACGAACGAACACCTACCTCAAAAAAACTGTTGTAGGGGAAAGAAAAGTATGGGAAGAAAAAAAGTTAATTCAAATTCACAATATAAAGGTTTTCTCCAAGAGAGAGAGAAACAGCAATTTTTTAAGCACAATACAATTGCATTACATTTTGGTTCTTCTAGTACATTTCAAGATTCAGCAGTTTTAGACTTTCAGATACTTAGTACTTAAAATACTGGAACCTAATTAGAAGATGATTTTGAAAATAAACACACCAAAACTCCTAGTATAATTTATGTGACAGATTGCAGGAGTGAAGGATTAATACCCTTGTCATAAGGGATTCTACCTCATAGGCTTACATTTACTCCCATTACCACGGGCATCACGCTGCTAGTACAGTACTCCTGTATTGAGATTGGTCATGTCCAGGTAGAAATCAGAGTTTTAATTAGTGGAATATGCTCATTCCATACATAATTCCTAACCTGCTTTCTTAATCAGAGGAGGGGAAAAAATCAAGTAACAGGTTCTGATTAATGCTGAAACATAGGATGGCAGGTTTTACTGCAAATGCTACCTAGTAGCACCTGGCACATGCATGTGTCTGTACATTTAAAATCGTTATTAAGTCACATTTTAATTACCATAATAAAAATATGGAGATGGGGTGTTATGTGATTTTCTTAAGTTAACAAACTGTTGATAGCTTGTTTATTGTTTTGTTTTTCTGGCCAGCAAATGGCCAGTCTACTTACATTCCCTCTTATATTTATGTATTAGAGTCTTCCATTATGGAGGCAAAGTACTGCTTTGTATATCAACTGATGTTATATAACAGCCTTGTCCAGATACTGAAGTATCTGGACATTGAGAATGTCAGGCAAAAATGTATTCTTGATTTTTATTCAGAAGATGAAAATTATAAAGTACTAATGACTGTAACTTATTGATGACATTTGGAAATGAGACATTTCTGCATATGGTCAATGTGCTAAAGTCAATCAATCAGACCTGGGTTCTTGTCAAAAGACAGCTGGTCCACAAACTTCTAGATTGTGTTTTTGCCCATACCTCTCCTATGGCTGTTTTTTTTTTTTTTTTTTTTTTTAATGATGGTGGTTAGGAGACCGAGCTAACTAGGTCTACTGTGTGAATGAAAATATTCTGCTAAAGAGACATACATGGAAACAAAAATGCTGTTTGAGGGAGTAACCATTTAAATGGGACCACAAAGATTAGAAATTTAAGAAAGTGTTGGGGCTGGGGATGTGGCTCAAGCTGTAGCGCGCTCGCCTGGCATGCGTGCGGCCCGGGTTCGATCCTCAGCACCACATACCAACAAAGATGTTGTGTCCGCCAATAACTAAAAATTAAATATTAAAAAATTCTCTCTTTTGAAAAAAAAATAAGAAAGTGTTAAAGAGTGATGAGACAGAAACAGACTGTGCTATAATATGGATACTGGATGTAGAGATTTTGTCTTTGAATTTTTATAAAGTGATCTGTACATAAGAGAAAGTTGTTTCTGAGTATTTTCAAATCTCAGAACTATATGCAGGTTTTTATTTATAAAAGTAGTATATGCCACAATATGAATGAACCTTGAAGAAATGCTAAGAAGCCAGACACAAAAGATCACATATGATATTCCACTTATGAGAAATTTCCAGAGAAACAAATCCACAGAGACAGAAGGAAGATTTGTGGTTACCTGGGGCTACAGAGATGGAGGAATGAGGAGTAATTGTTAACAGGATTTCTTTGGGGATGGTAAAATGTCTGGAATTAGTTGTCAATGGTTGTACAATGTTGAGAGTATACTAAAATCCATGAATTATACACTTTTAAGAGATTGTATTTTATCTTTTATGAATTTTACCTCAATTTTTTAAAAAAACCTAATATATGGCCATTGCACAAAATAAAAAATACACAAAGGTGGGCCAGGGATGTGGCTCAGTGGTAGAGCATTTGCCTACCATGTGGGAGGCATTGGGTTCAATCCCTGGCACCACATAAAAGCAAACAAATAAAATAAAGGTATTGTGTCCATCTACAACTAAAAATATCTATAAAAATACACAAAGGTAGATAAAGCAAAATGTGAAAATATTCCCCCCTTTTTCACAAGCCTGCTACCCAGTTCTTTCACATTAATAGGATCATGCTATTAAGTTGTATACCTTGTCTTTTTTACTTGAACACATTACAAGGTGCTAGTACATCCAGATTTCTCATTCTTTTAAGCAGCACCAACTCTGTGGTGTTTCAACACATGCCTGTCTAGTTCTCACATACAACCCTATGTTCTTATGCAAGTAATTTCTTAGGTTAAATTTCTAGAAGTGGAGCTGATAAATCAAGTGTATATACAGTTAATTTTTGATAAGAATTACCATCCACAAAATTTGTACCACGTCAACAGTTCATCCATGATGATTAAGCTTGCCTGCTCCTCCGCCTCAGAAGAGTGCTTCTTAATGAAAAGAGGTATGGTGCCTTTTTTAACATACACAGTCCATAGGGTTTTGATTTTATTGTGAAACCCATATAGACCATTTCAAAGTGATGTGTGAGCTATCTTTGGGAAACCAAGCACTATCCTTCATCTGTAAAATAAATTCAGTCAAAAGGTTAGGTTTCATATGTATGATAAACAGGAGTCATCAGGCAATTATTTCCCTTCCTCTTAATTTCTGAAAAGCAAAAGATTGCTCATCACTGCCCACTGATGGCAGGTGAACCTGTTTCTCTGTGTCCAGGGTCACCTATGGCTCAGTTCAGTCCACTTGAAGGGGTCATGTACTATTTTGTTGCAGAACTTCTATGATCTTTATTTGTCATGTGATGGCTCTTATCCCCACAATTATGGCCTTGTATAACAGCTGGTCAATTCTGGGAAAAAAAGAAAAAATTCATTTGAACTTTCTGCTTTTCAACTACGTGTATGGGCCTTGCATGAATAAATTCTAAGACTAACATGAAAAATTGATTTGATGCTTTTGGCTCATTTACTAGGAATTTTTTTTCTCATGTAGCAATTTCAAGCAACAGTTGCTTATATGTCTGAAAAGAAATTACTTATAAAAATAACATGGATACTCAATTATGCTGGTCAGCCAGCATGGCAGTTTCTAAATAAAGAATAAATTGAATGTAGTCAAGGGTGAATAATGTCACATGAAAATTGTTTTTTCCTAATTCTCAAGTCACACTTGTGCTAATTAATATTTGTAACTTAGTTATTTTGAAAAGGACAAATCAGATGTATAACATTACAAAACAATTTAAATGTTTAACCAGTAACCCAACCTTTGATCATGTTTTGTTCTATTGATTCTTCATAGGTTTGATAATTAAATCTTGAAGGAAGAGCAACAAAGTAGGATGACTTCATTAGAGAACTCTTTTTGTAACTTAGAACTGCAGTAGTCATGTGAACTGCTATCATTTTCATTTCAGGAATTAGCTAGACAATTTAACACAAAGGCTTATTTTCAAATGTTCCTGATCCTTAAGCCCAATAGGATTATGTTCTATATTTAGTATTGATTTAGTATTACCAGGAAATAATAATTCTTTGAACTCTGGTCTCAAAAGATAAGTGGTTTCTGAAAAGTTTACAGATCAGAGAGCTGGAATTTTGGCATTATCCTCAAATACAACATTCTTTCTGGACATCTCTTAGAAGAGTGGTTCTTATGCATGTCAACCTATCCCATGTATCCCAGTGGCTTAGGACAGCTAGCCAGTGTGCTGGGGTTGCAAGGAGAAAATGTTAAAGAAAACATATGTTGCTCAGGAAGAAGGCTTGACAGATATTTCTTCTCCCTTGGGAAGAGGCAGGGTAGAAGACAAAGGCCTTACGGACTTTTACTATGGTCTTTGGAACACCTCTAATAGCTGGGGTCACTCTATTCCATGAAATGTGGAAATGTAGCCAATAGTTTATAGGCCCCTTACTAGAAAGATCCAACACAAAACTTGAAACAATCACATCTTTATTCATTTTTTTTCCTTTGATGCCCTCCTGGAAACACTCTTACCTCAATTTCCACCCCTTTAAGACCACTCCTTTTTCTGACTCTTGTCCCTACCCCTAACCTACGTGTCCTTGGTTGTATTAGTCAACCTTTATCACTCTGACAAAATACCAAAGATAATTATATCTATTATAAAGAGAAAAGGTAACAAAGCAAGGTGATGCATACCTGAGGTCACAGATACTTGGAAGGCTGAGGTGGAAGGATCACTTGAGCCCAGGAATTTGGGTCCAGCCTCAGCAACCTTACAAGACCTGCCTCAAAAAAACATTTATTTTGGCTCACAGTTCAGAGGGTCTAGCCTAAAATCAAGTGGCACATTGCTTTGGGCAACTAATGAGGCAGCAAACCACAGTTGGAGTACATGGTAGAGCAAAACCGCCCAGCTAATCAGCCAGTAAGTAAAGAGGAAGAAACCAGAGTTCCACAATCCCCTTCAAAGACACACACCCCCAGTGACTTAATTCCTCCAACTAGGCCCCACCTCCTAAAAGTTCTCCCACCTCCCATTAGTACCACCCTGGAGACCAAGCTATAACATGTAGACCTTTGGGGGACACTTATCGAAGCCATAGCATTGGTATTCTGGTCTTTGCCATATTATTCTCACCCATAACCATGATCTGCTACAAACTGTAATCTGTGTGTTCCACATGGATATCATCTTCACTCAGTCACACTCCAATGCTAAGGCTCAACTCCTTCAGGACATTTCTATCCAATCCACTGGCTACCTAAGCATGAATCCCAAACTAGATTTTCCTGGTCTGAGTTTTAGCTGTTTAGTA